CCATGATCCATGCCCCCGGTAGGCAACACACCTCCCTTGAGACGGGGTCTGGACGGCAGACGAGTGCTTCTGTCCCTTTCAGTGTAGAGTTCCCTACTATTACGACCCGCTGCTTTTTCCTAGCAGCACCAGTAGAGATATTCTTTACCAGGGCATCAGCTAGCTGTTCATGGTGCGAGTGCGTTTCCTCATTAGCCCCCTGCAGGACATCAAAGCAGTTCTGCGTGGGGACAGGGGATTTAGGGGGAAGCCCCTTGCTTTTGATTGTCCTTTTCCTTCTTTTTTTTGTTGTTTTTTTTTGGCACTAATTCCCAGCTTCCCAGGTTAACAGCCTCCTTCTTTCCTTCATGAGGTAGAGGTGAAGCTCAAGGCCCCTGCACAGTTTGGGCCAGGAGCAAGCATTCCTGCTTACTCTCAGCTTCCCTGACATCTTGCCGCCTATTGACAGCATCCCTCAGCTCAGCCACCTGCTGCAGGAGGACCTCCACCAGGGAGCACCGAGTGCGCCCCTGCCCACTGTGCACCCTCCCCTCAGGAGACCAGTGCAGGCACTCTCTACACCCCGAGCTCTGCACTGCAGCCTCCCCTCTCATTGGCTCTGTCTGGGTGCCTATGCTAGCCACCGCCGGGGTAGCCAGAGCAGAGCTGCCGGACCGGGCCCTGGTCATACGACGAGTGCTAACCATCTTGCTCGCCTGCCCACGTGAACTGCCTCGACCCGCACTGTTTGCCCTCTCTGTTCTCTGCGCTCCTGGTCGCTCACGCTCCCTGGGGCAGGATTTTAATCAGTCATGGCTGGTGCCGTTCCTCCTGGCTCAGCACCCTGTGAGTCAGCTGCTCACGTCAGCTGAGCTGCCAGCTCCTGGGTGGTCCTGTCGAGGACTTGAGGCTCCCTCGGTGGCTCTTGTCGCTCTGAGTTGAGGCTCCTGGATGCTGATCTCCCCCCCCGGCTCAGCTGACTGGTAATTGCACCAGACAAGGTGCAACGTGAAGCCCCTTGGAAATATCTGGGGTGGATCATTTCCGGAACTGAAATTAGGCCTCAAAAAGTTAAAATTCACTACAAACACTAGAGCTATGTGCTGTTATTGCAGTATTTCAACGACAGCCTGACACCCCTCTTAATATTGTCTGCCATTCCTTATATGTTGTAGGCATTGTTCAATGCACAGAAAGGGCAATTTTACAAGAAGTTGCTAATCACAGATTGTGAATCTTGTTAAAAACTTTATTACATCTTGTGAATACTCCTAAATGTACATATTTTATGATGCATATTCGCAGTCATTCAGGCCTTCCAGGAAGCCTTAGTGAAGGCAATAAAAAAGTGGATAAATTAGTTGCCCCAGCATGGGCAGGACCCTCTGTAAATATCTTTCAACAAGCTCAAGCATCCCATGCATTCTTCCATCAATCAGCAAAAATGTTAGTTCGACAGTTTGGACTGTCCCTAACAGATGCCCGAGGCATTGTGCAATCTTGTCCCAATTGTCAACGCCAAGCTCAAATCTCAAATGATGATCTGACCAATCTCATGCCCCTTTTAAAGGGTGAGTCAAAGGCAGAACAAAAAGAGTTCTATCAAAAGCTCAGCATGAGGCCTTAGATCACATCATGACAAAAATCACTAATCTTGTCCCGACTGTCAAGGCCAAGCAGTAGGTATAGGCCTTGGAGTCAACCCTCGAGGCCTCCAGCCTCTTCATCTTTGACAAATGGATGTGACTCATGTACCCTCTTTTGAGAAATTGAAATATGTCCATGTTACTATTGACACTATTCTCTTACAGGACAAGCTATTATTGAACGAAAGCATCAAACTTTTAAACAGTTGTTGGAAAAACAAAAAACGGGGGAAGAAGCACTTACACCAGTAGCAAGGATACAGAAAGCTGTATATGTTATGAATTTTGTGCTATTGACAGGAGACTTTAATGACCCCCTGCTATAATACATGGTCAGGCATTAGGTTCAGTTTATATGACTAAAACTCCAGGTATCCTGGTCCACTACAAGAATTTAGAAACCGGCATTTGGAAAGGTCCTGTGGAAGTAAAACTAACTGGTCGAGGTTATATGTGTGTAATTACAGATTCCGGTCTGTGGTGGGTGCCAGCTCGATGGGTGAAACCCTGGAAAGAGTCAGCACCGCCCCAGGACACCCCCCTTGTCAGTGATTGAATGAATTGAAATTTGAGCCTAGGGCTTTCGTTTTATGGATGTTTTCAATCCTCCTTAAAGTGAAGGAAGCAACCTTTTTCACATTAAAGTAAAAAAAAAAAAAAAAAAAAAAAGAAACCACCCCCCGCCCCGAACCTTCAGGGAAGCAAGACCAGGGTGGGATACAGATGTATTTTGTGCGTTTCTGGTGGTGGGAAGGTCTCTCGTATGCTCTTATCAGGGGTATTGGGCATACTGTGATGGACCGTGGACTTGGGAGCCCATATACAACTCATTTAATACAGTTTCTCTGTGATACTCATGTACTAGAAGTTGGTAAATATAAGTACGTCCAGGTTTCTATCGACCTTTGGAGACCTTTATAGATATTGCTGGCCACTTCTTCCAACATAGGCTGGCCACCTGTGTTGGAATGAGTGTGCATTTTGGTCAGTATAAAAGCCCAAGCCTCATGCTCTGTGGGGGAGGCAGAGCCTCTGCAGGGATGCCGGCTAAGGTTGAGCCTGCCACCTCACACTGCAGTGATGCTTCTCGGAGCTGGTTTCCTGTTAGTCTCCACAGGGTCCTTGTGCCACGTTCTGTACATGGGACTGTAGTGGGAATAACGATTGTCTGGATTTTGTGCTTCAAATATTGTAGTTGTGTGGAGCGTGCTTGTGGGATCCCATACATGTGTGTGTGTGTATGTTGAGGGCAGACGGTGTTCTGTGTATTTTTTTGTTGTTGTTGTTGGGTTCATGTAAAAGTTTTTAACGGGTAGCAATTTAACATTTCGGGCATGAAAGGGTTAATGAAAAAGTGCGGCTGCTGGGAGGTATTAATGGTTGCTGCTGAAGCAGGCAGGCTGCTGTAGCTGCTGCCGAGCAGGCCGGCGTTTGTAGGGTGAGTGACTTTGGATTAAAAAAAAAAAAGCAATGATGAATGATGCAGCAAACTCCTGGCCAGTTAACAATGTGCAGTTTAACCTGTCTACTTCTCAAGAACTGATAACCTGGGGGAGGGGGTATATTTGTGTCCTAATGACTACAGGTCCATGGCAACTGACTGCAAAGTTTGTCAAGCCTTGCCATGAGCTGGACAGACGAATGGAAAAACCTGATGCCTCAGCTACAGGAGCTGACCGTGAATACCCCAAGCAGAATGAGATAGAGGAAGAGAAAAACGAATGACTGCAAAACATCACTTGGGGGCAACTGAAAAGTAACATCCTGAATATGTGTGCTTGTAAAGTAGCTATTATTAGAGGCTGTGATTTTTGTGTATAAAACCACCTGTATTTACTAGCCAGTTGCTAGTAAGAAACTACACCTTGTATTGTATGGATTTGTCACTTGTAAAAGACATGTTAGAGTATGCAAATTTGCAGTAGCTGCTAGAAAATTCTAAGGCAAAAGATAGAAAGATTTTAATACAATGATAGTGTTATAAAGCAGGTAATAGAACAAATTAAGAGGGTGGGAGAATACCACTGTTAAGAAATTTCTTCGGCTAGTCCCTCGCTGACATCAACATCATCAACAGGCTGCTGCACTCTGTAATAGTTACTCTGCTAATGTAAATTTGTGTGTGCCTTGCTGTAGTAGCGACTTGTTACTGGATGAAGCAGGTGAAACTCCGTGTTGACAACAAGGTGCAAGGACTGAGGCTGACCAAATGCCTGCTGCCACAGTCAAGGGCAAGACTGGGTTGGCCTCTGTGTTTGCCGCCAGGAAGAGCCTTTAGCTCCACTGTTGGGGGTGGGGACACATGCCATGCCAGACCTTGATGTGAAGGATGGCATCCCCTGTTACCAGAGAGCCATACAGGAGAAAAAAGGGGCAGGCCCAGCAGCCTGTAGTTGGCATATGTTGGAGATATGATCTAGGCCAAATCCCCTGCTCAAGTAGAGTCACCCAAAACATATATAAAACAAAAAGCGGGAGATGTGGAGGCAGTGTTCTCACAGGAGAATGGATAATTGGTACATAAACTCTGAATAATCCTGAAAGATACAGCAAAGCCATGAGAGGCCCAAGGAAGCCTAAACAAGCAAGATAAGAAGAAGCTGGAATTCACCAAGTTAATAAGAACTGTGGACTGTTGGCAAGCTTTTGAGGTCAATTTCTCACACTTGTGCTTAACCAATTTTATGTTAGTCACTAAGGGTCTTCAAGACATGTATCCAATCACAATATGCCAAATCACTGTATGTGCATTTAAGAAATACTATAAAAGGAGTTACGGATTTTTAAAAAATGGCTTTTGTCTGATCATATTGATCTCTCACTGAGAACATATATTTTCTGCGGCACGGAGTTAGGGGGGGAGGGGGGCACTGAGAACGGTCCCTGTCAGGCAGGAGGCATCGGGCTGCCACTAGGACCCCGTTGCGGGAGGCAGCGGGCTGGCGCTAGGATCCTGATACCGGAGCTGGCGGGGGGGGCGGCACTGGGACCGGTCCCTGCCAGGCAGGAGGCAGCGGGCGGGCACTAAAACCCGGTTGCGGAAGGCAGCGGATGGGCACTAGGACCCTGATACCGGCGCTATAGGGGGGCGGGCCCTGGGACCGGCTCCTGACAGGTAGGAGGCAGCGGGGGGCACTAGGACCCTGATGCGGGAGGCATCGGGCTGGCACTAGGACACCGTTGAGGGAGGCAGCGGGCGGGCACTAGGACCCTGATACCGGGGCTATGTAGCGCTGAGGGTGCTGGGGGGTTCTGTGGGTGCTGGGGTTTCTCTAGGTGCTAGGATGACTGGGTGCCCTGGAGCTGTTGTGGTTGCTGGCAGTGGTGGGGGTGGTATGGGTGCAGTGCATAGTATGGGTGCTGTGGGCTCCAAGAGGACACAGGGAGGGCAGGAGGACACTCACTGCTCTGTGTGGTGGCCGGACAGCCCCTGCAGAGGGCTGTTTCCTCCAAGCCTCGGCTGCTTCAGTCCCAGCCGCAGATCTGCCCGATGGGATGCTCCAGGGCTGCTGGTAGGCATTTCCTCTGGAGCCTGAAGCAATCACCCAAAATTCCTTACCCACCTAGCCCAGGGTTAGCCCACATGTGAGCTGAGTTTGGTCCCCAGAATGACTGAACCTGGGAAAGGAAGGGCTTTCACTAGCAAACCACAGCCCAGCACGTGCTGAGCCAGGACACGTGGACCCACTGAGCCTCTGCCGTCTGCCAGCAGGCTCAGAGTATCCCGTGAGAGCCCCAGGTTCTTCTGGGCCCTGCTCATCACCCCAAGCCCTCCTGTGCTGCCCATCCCTTCTCTCACCTTGCCCTCCGATTCCAACTGCATCTGAACAGGAAAACCAGCCTGCAGCTCCTGCTGCTCTCCATCATCCTCCCCCTCATCATCAAGGGACAAGCATGGCTTTGGCACAGCTTCCTCCAACCTACAGAAGCCAGAGAAGCAGGCACCGAGCCAGAGAAGATCCTCTGCTGAAGCACCATTTTGCATGAGAAGTCTTGGGATGGATCAAACACAAGATTGGGCCTTTGCAACCCAGCTTCCCTTGGGGCTTGTGTGCTCTGCTCCAGCAGGTTCAGAACTGAACCCAGCCGCAGTCGAGATGATGCTACACACCAGCAGCTCCTCTGCTTCCTGACAGGCACTAGGCTCTCACCAGCACTAAAACCCTGCAGGCTCCTTGACACAGGGGACACCAGGAGGTCACACACAAAAGCTCTGTTGCTCCTTTCACCCCAGCCTCATCTGGGCAGCTCCACTGGGCTCACGCTGGACGGAGCCTGTGGCCCTGCTGCCTGGTTCTGTGCCACTCGGGCACCATCCTCATAAGCACGAAGCTTTGCCTGCAGCTCTGCCACCTGCAAGGAGGGATCTTCTGTTGCTCAGATGGTTTTATGACCCCTGGAGCTCAGAGGTTTGCATCCCAAACAGACCACAGCTAAAGACAGAGCCCTGTCCTCCCCACCAGCATCTCCCCTTCCCTTTCAGCTGCTCACACATTTCCACATATCCACAGAGGTGGGAGTCAGAGCTGCACGTGCTGCTCTTCAGCTGCAGAGGCAGGGACGAGACAGAGGTTAAAGAAGCACTGGGGCAGCACATACCCTCTCCTGACACCGGAGCAGGGCAGCTCTTCAGCCTCCTCCAGGATGCAGGGTCCCCATGGAGCCCTGGGCTGGCTGCAGCAGACACAATCTGTTTTCAGGGACCTATTGCCACAGTCACAAGCCTTTTTAGGCTTGGGGCTGGGGAGCTTTAGCAGAAGTCTGGGCACACACTGTCTGCAGCTCCGTCAGCTGCTTTCTGCCCAGAGCAGCACCCCCAGGACTGGAAAACTCACGCTGGAGAAGGGAGGCTCCCACTCATCTACCCCAGCATGCAGCAGACTCCCTCCCATCCAGCAGCAGCTCCCAAACACACACAACAAACACATCACCCCCACCACATGAGCTCCTCACCGACAGCTTGATCTCCTTGGCTCTGCTGGCATACTTGAGCGTGTTGTAGGTGTCCTCATAGGCCAGCACAGAGGGGCTCACCGCCGCCACCATGACGCTGCGGCAGTTGCCACCCAGGCAGTCCTTCAGCAGGCGCGTCAGCTTGCTGTCCCGGTACGGGATGTGGCTTTTCTTGCCCTGGATCAAGAGAGCCAGGATCTGCTCAGCTTTTGGCCCCCGGGCACTCAGCTCCTACCCCTGAGTCACAAGGGGATGGCTGCGCTCACCCCACAGCACCAGCAGCACTGAAACTTGAGGACACCGCTCACATTCAGCCGGCCCAGGGAGCCAGAGCCCAGCAGGGCCATGTGGGAAACAGCATTACCTTTGCATCAGCCAAGGCGTTGATGACGTTGATGAGGGCCAGCAGCGAGCGGTTGATGTTGGCCCCCTCCCGCAGCCGCTCTCCCCTGCTGTTGGCAACCGACGCTCGCTCTGAGCCTGCCAGGTCCATCAGGCTCATCTTGGCCACCTTCAGACCCCGACTGAGGCTGCCAGTGCAGTCCTGCTGCTTCAAGTGGATCTGTGAGGACAGAGATGGGTGAGGCTGCAGCTCGACAAGGCACATGGGGTCGGTGGTTGGAGGAGGCTCAACAGCAGGGCAAGAGGGTGATGTTCGGAACAGGATGGCTGCCACAGAAAATACATGGACTCAGAGATCAATATGATCAGACAAAAGCCGTTTATTACAAAGCCTTAACCCCTTAAATACTATTTCTAACATGCACTTACAGGGATTTGGCATATTAAGATTGGATACATGTCTTGAAGACCCTTTGCAACTAGCATATAATTGGTTAAGCACAGGTGTGGGAACTTGACCTCGAAAGCTTGCCAACAGTCCACAGTTCTCATTACATCAGTGAATTCTAGCTTCTTCTTATCTTGCTTGCTTAAGCTTCCTTGGGCCTCTCACGGCCTTGCTGTATCTTTCAGGATTATTCAGAGTTTATGTACTAATTGTCCATTCTCCCGTGAGAACACTGCCTCCACATCTCCCCCTTTTTGTTTTATATATGTTTTGGGTGACTCTACTTGAGCAGGGGATTTGGCCTAGATCATATCTCCAACATATGCCAACTACAGGCTGCTGGGCCTGCCCCTTTTTTCTCCTGTATGGTTCTCTGACAACAGGGGAGGCCATCCCTCACATCAAGGTCTGGCATGGCATGTGTCCCCACCGCTCCACGCCTGCTGGGTTGCAGCCAACAGCGGAGCTAAAGGTTCTTCTTGGTGGCAAACACAGAGGCCAACCCAATCTTGCCCTTGACTGTGGTAGCAGGCATTTTGTCAGCCTCAGTCCTTGCACCTTGTTGTCAACACGGAGTTTCACCTGCTTCATCCAGTAACAAGTCGCTACTACAGCAAGGCACACACAAATTTACATTAGCAGAGTAACTATTACAGGGTGCAGCAGCCTGTTGAAGATGCTGATGGCAGCGAGGGACTAGCCAAAGAAATTTCTTAACAGTGGAATTCTCCCACCCTCTTAATTTGTTCCATCACCTGCTTTATAACACTACCATTGTATTAAAATCTTTCTATCTTTTGCCTTAGCATTTTCTAGCAACTACTGCAAATTTCCATACTCTAACATCTCTTTTACAAGTGACAAATCTATACAATACAAGGCGTAGTTTCTTATTAGCAACTAGCTAGTAAATACAGGTGGTTTTATACACAAAATCACAACCTCTAATAATAGCTACTTTACAAGCACACATATTCAGGATGTTACTTTTCAGTTGCCCCCAAGTGATGTTTTGCAGTCTTTTGTTTTTCTCTTCCTCTATCTCATTCTGCTTGGGGTATTCACGGTCAGCTCCTGTAGCTGAGGCATCAGGTTTTTCCATTCGTCTGTCCAGCTCATGGCAAGGCTTGACAAACTTTGCAGTCAGTTGCCATGGACCTGTAGTCATTAGGACACAAATATACCCCCTCCCCCAGGTTATCAGTTCTTGAGAAGTAGACAGGTTAAATGCAGCATCATTACTCTCTCCCCCCCCCCCTTTTTTTTTTTTTGCAAAACCTGTCCTGCTGGGCAGCAACTATAGCGGCCTGCCTGCTTCAGCAGCAACCATAAATACCTGCCAGCAACTGCACCTTTACGTTAACCCTTTCATGCCCAAAATGTTAAACAGCTACCCGTTGAAAGCTTTTACATGAACCCAGCAACAAGAAAAATACACAGAACACCGTCTGCCCTCAGCACACACACACACACACACGGGTATGGGATCCCACAAGCACACGCCACACAACTACAATATTTGAAGCACAAAATCCAGACAATCATTACTCCCACTACAGTCCCACGTACAGAACGTGGCACAAGGACCCTGTGGAGACTAACAGCAAACCAGCTCTGAGAAGCATCATTGCAGTGTGAGGTGGCAGGCTCAACCTTAGCGGGTGTCCCCGCAGAGGCTCTGCCTCCCGCACATCACATGAGGCTTGGGCTTTTATACTGACCAAAATGCACACTCATTCCAACACAGGTGGCCAGCCCGTGCTGGAAGAAGTGGCCAGCAATATCTATAAAGGTCTCCAAAGGTCGATAGAAACCTGGACGTACTTATATTTACCAACTTCTAGTACATGAGTATCACAGAGAAACTGTATGGGCTCCCCCTGTCAACTGCAAGAAAAAATCATAACATATACAGCTTGAGTGTAAGAGGATTTTAACGCATACGTGGTCACTGTTTGTCAGGCCTCCTTAACTATTTTGAGATCAAGAGCTTCCCACTCTTTAGCCCCCTGCTGTGTAGTAAACACAGGATATGCAGAAATGCCCATTGCAGAAAATTCCCCAGTAATGATCACATCTTTGGTTAACCATTGTTACAGCTGAGCGTCTCCAGGGCCAGTAAGTCTGAGCAGACCGACCCGGGAGACGAAGAGTCAGAGTCTGGAAGCAGAGCATATATATCTGGCTTGGATTCAGGGGATTCGGGGGCTGATCCTGAGCCGAACTCAGGGTCTCCGTTGCTCGCAGGTATGTCTTTCTTATCAGATGTCTCTTGTTCAGTATGTAGCCATCTGCAGACCTGGCTCCTCCGTAACTGAGTTAAAAATTTCCACTCTAGGGCATAGTGGGTTGGAGAGGCTCGCAGTTCCTTTAAATCTCCCGCTCGCGCAGGATCTCTATTTTCTACTGCGTGCTTCAAAATGCCACCGCAATCGATCCGGCACTGAGGCACCGCCCTCTTTCTTTCGGATTCCTCGACATTTATCATGCGTACACCTTCTAATATACTTTCTCTGTCCTTCCTAGAGTCCCTACTTTCGGAACTGGGGTGGTGGGGGAGCAGGGGGTTACACCTCCTCCGCGGCACCTTCTGATGAAGGAGGGGGAGAAAAGGAAGGGGGGGGGAAACCCTGTGCTCCCGCGAGTTGGGGGAAATGAGTTGTAATCTTCCCCCGGTTTCAACCGACCAGGGACGTCTGTTCCTAGTTTCTCCGTTGCTACCACGGCAGTTTTCTTTTCCGCCTTGTAACTTTTTGTACAGTTTATTACTCCTCTCCATGGTTTACCGAGTTTCTTTGCCGTTTTATCATCATTAAGCATTGAGTCAAATAGTTCTTCACCAAACTTTCGCCACTCACTCTCCTCAAAAACTCTATTAGGATCTACAGAAAAACCCTTAGCTTTCCCTACAGCCAGTAGACCTGCTAGCTGCTTTAGAGTCTCAGGCTCAATTCCCCGTTTTTATAAAAAGCACTGTAATAAGGCCAGGGCTACCTCTCGGTCCATTTTCATGGCCGGCCTTTTCCAGATCGTCTTCTTCTGGGTCGTCCTGTAACCTCGGTCTCCGGATCGGCCTCCCAACGCAGCAGTGTCTGGTTCACCCCAGCAGCGGACTCCTTTCGGTTAGTCCAAGCACCCGGGTCCGTCACACCACCACAGCAGCATTGCCCGCGCTCCCCGGCCGCTGCCACCGGCGGCGCTCACTCGCCGTTCCGGGTCCCTGTATTCCGGGTCCCCAGTGACCAGGGCCCTGTAGTCTGCGTCCCTGTTCAGGCGCCATTTGTAAGCGGCGAGGAGAAGCAGACAGGCCAACCCAATATGGGTGATAAGCAAACTTCTATCTTATTTGTGACGCAGTTCACATATATATAGGAGTGGTATTCAGCCACTCCTCCTTGGCACAACAGTATTGGTTAGCCCCACACAACTTCCTCCACATTCTCCTCCCATGTCCGGTTTCCGGTTACCTGTGGGGGCCCCCCCCCCGCCTTGCTCGCACAGTCCTCCAGGGCTCTATGGTCCTGCTCTTAGAGTCATTATGCAACAGGTGGCCAAGTGGATCGTGTGGGCTGTGAGGCAGAGAGGAGCCTGGCATGCCAAGAAGACAAGCCAAAAACTCAGTGATGACACAAGCAGCAAAACCATGAAAGGGATCCTGCAGGAAGTGACAGAGCCATAGAAAATAATCAGCATCTCCTATGCTTGGTGCACAAGCATGGCAGAGCTGGCTGGGTCCACAGAGGGCCAAACACCACCCAGAGCCCCAGCCCCAGTGCATTTTGTCAAACTCAAGACACCAATGGGGGGCTACAAGCCCCCAAAAGACAGTGGCTCTCTGTGCCCCCTTGCAGGCATCAGCCAGGGCTTTCAGTCCTGAGCCCAGATCCCAGCTGGTGTGGGCAAGGAGAGACACAGTCACCAAGACTCATCAGGCAGCATCGCTCCGTAACTTCATCTTCTGCATCCCTAAAGGTCTCCCTGGAGAATGCAAATGCTTTCTCCACAGCCTTAAAACACACTCAGCCCCCTAGGAACAACACCTGCATGGACTGGAGGTGCCATGGGACTGCTGGAGCCCATTAACAGGTCCTGCATCCTCACCAGACTGTGGCTTGCCTGCCAGGAGGCAAAGCTGGCAGCGGGAAGGGCACATTCCCAGCACAGCGAATGGATTCACAGCAGGCAGGAATCCAGCACCCACCAACAAACCCAGCTGGGATGCCGCCTGGAAAAGCATCCAGACACCTGGACTTCCCCCTGCAAGCAGCCATGGATGAGACACCAGGTTCAGACTGAAACTGCAGTCAGAGCCCTCCGTCTCCTCACGCAGCCATGGCTTCCCTGCTCATTCAGGAGAGGGCCTGGCTGCAATTGAAATCACCTGGCAGGTGTGCATAGGAGAGCACCACCAAACTGGGGAGCCCATTTACAGAGCCCCTGCGGGAGTGTAATTCCCAGCTCAGCGCCAGGGAAGACACGATGAAGGAGACAGCCGGCTCAAGGCATGAGCACAAACCAGCCCCTTTGCTCTGGGACACGTTTTAGGTACAGCTGCCACACGTCGAGTCAACAAGAGTCAAAAGCACACAGTGAAGTTTCAGCCCCAAGGGGCAGAGCACCAAGCTGAGAGCATGGAGCTGGCCGGGAGGTGTGGCCACCAGCGTGACCGGTACATCCCGTCCTGCAGCAGCATGGCCAGGGCCCTGTTCAGCCCCATACCTCTCTTTGCAGGGCTGCAACCGCTCTGCTTTACCCCGTGGCACATGAGGAGCAGTGGCAGGAACCCCAGTCCTGGTATGGCCTTGCTTCCTCATCTCTTTTTAAGCACAAACCCCCAGTGACACTGCATCCACCAGCCCTCACCTGAAAGATGGCATGCAAGCGGGAGGAGACAGCACTGGCATCAGTGGGATGCTGCGTCCGGTTTCTGTTGCCATTGGCCAACATCTCCATGAGCCGCTCTGCTGATGCAGGCTGGGACAGAACAGGGAGAGGGATGATACCAGTGTCCCCCACCTGCAGGCACAGACACAACCCAACACAGAGCACCCACAGCTCTGGCATCCTGCAGCATCGTGGGCCTCGTTTCAGCTCAGGCTCATGTTTGCTGCCAGCCACGAGCTGTGCAGGTGGCACCCCCCTATCTTCAGACACCCCCTATCTCCAGGACACATCTGCTTTCAGAACTGGTGGAGATGCAGCATTGCCCATTCTTACACCTGGTGTGCCCATTTTAATGCCTACCTGGTGGAAGGAGAGGCCCTGAACCACAGCTCTTCGCTCAGGATCCTCCCGAGTAGCTAGAGGTCCCTTGGACTCCAGCAGGTCATAGATCTGCTCATTGTACACCTGAAGCAGGGAACTCAATGTAAGGCTGAGGTTAGGTTCCCCAGTGGTGAGCAGGGAGAGGAGGTTTGGACCTAAGGGTCACACACGACCTTGTGTCCCGCTCCCAACACCACCTGCAGGATGTCACTACACCCAGAGCAGCTGATGGTGCTCTAGCTGACAGCTCAGGAAGGCTTTCAAAGCAACTCACTTTGCCACAGCTCCTCTAAAGCCTTTCCAGCCAGGAACCCTTCCGCAGAAAATATATGGACTCAGTCAGAGATCAATCTGATCAGACCAAAGCCGTTTATTGCAAAGCCTTAACTCCTTATATACTGTTGCTTACATGCACTTACAGGGATTTGGCATATTATGATTGGATACATGTCTTGAACACCCTTAGTGACTAACAACCAATTGGTTAAGCACAGGTGTGAGAACTTGACCTCGAAAGCTTGCCAGCAGTCCACAGTTCTCATAACTCAGTGAATTCCAGCTTCTTCTTATCTTGCTTGCTTAAGCTTCCTTGGGCTTCTCATGGCCTTGCTGTATCTTTTGGGATTAGTCAGAGTTCATGCACCAAATATCCATTCTCCTGGGAGAACACTGTCTCCACAAGAGGCTGTGCTTGTGTCTGCACAGAACGAGGGCTCCGACGGATCCCCACACGATGAACCTGTCTGTTTATACAAGTGACGGCTGCCAATGAAGATTGATGCCAATTCACCACCAGTTTGAAGTTAACCCGTGGGAACCGTGCCCAGTTAACCGGGCTCTTCTTGGAGAATCAGTCAACAGAGAGCGTATCCTTGCGGGAGCAACCGGGCTTTCCAGCCACTGGGAGCAGTCTGGGAACATTTAAGCCTGGAAAGGGAACCACTGGACACCAGAGCTGCTTTGAGACATTGATTCTGTGAGGCACGGCTCACTACAGAACAGAACGGCTGTTGGTTTTTATTGTTGGCTCAAGAGCATGGGTGTGAAGGTTTTGCTGGTATGTGCTGCACGAATTTACCAGATCACCCATCAAAGCATTCCGGACTTAATACCAAGGACAGCACACCTTCAGGAAGAATAGGGACTGAACTGGATGAACAAAGTGTTTTCTGGCTTGAGCATTACAGAATGGCTTCACTTTATCTTAATCATTTTGCTAATCTTTTTGGGTATTCTAATCTGTGTGCCTTGTGTGCTACAACAGTTAATGGAGAATATAGAAACTTTGGCAAAAGTAGATCATAAATCTATGAAAGCTGTCTTTTAGTAAAACAAAAAGGGGGAGATGTGGGTGACTGATAGAAATAGTTAACGAAATGGATCCAGGCATTATTGCCCTGCTCGGGCCTAAGCCTTGGGAAGGGTGAAGAAAACACCAGGGGTTAATGCCCTGCTCGGGCCTCAGCCTTGAGAACTGTAAAGAGAACAATGAAGGGTAAACATGGGTTTGCAAAACAAAGCAGGCAGTTTGCAAGATACTGCAGGATGTGCATCTCAAAGGCAGACCAAAGAGTGTGAATATTTGTAACCCTCAGTAGTGTTGCTAGATCAGGATGATAAGGGAGTCAAAGAGTGGAAAGTTACTGCTTAGCACTTAGGAGACTATGAAAGGGACGCGAGAGGTGAAATAAAGGTCTTCAGATTTCACCAGAGCTGGACTCCATCTTTGATAGGCCACAGGGAACCCCATCCCTTGGGACCCCATCTTCTGGTGACCCCATCCCTTGGGGACCCTATCCCTTTGGACCCCATCTTTGGGTACCCCCATCCCTTGGGGACCCCATCACTTGGGACCCCATCCCTTGGGGACCCTATCCCTTTGGACCCCATCTTTGGGTACCCCCATCCTTGGGGACCCCATCACTTGGGACCTCATCCCTTGTGAACCCCATGGTTTGGAACCCCATCCCTTGGGACCACATCCCCTGGGGACCCTATCGCTTAGGACCTCAGTCCTTGGGACCCCATCACTTTGGAACACATCGTTGGGTACCCCATCCCTCGGAGACCCCATCCCTTAGGACCCCATCTCTTGCTTAACCGTAAACTGCATTTGGGCCCACCCCTTTGGCTCCCCCATTGCCACCCCCCCCCCAATCTTTGGTGTGCTCCCCCCTACCCATGGCCAGCCCCTCCGCGGTGGCAAGGCGCAGGATGGCGTCATCGCTCACGGGGCACTCAGGGGTCTCCAGCTCCTCCAGCTTCACATGGATCTGTGCTCCCGAGGTGCAGCATTCCCAGCGCCTACCCAGTACGCCAGTGCATCCCCCGCCCTGCACAGCACCATGGCGGCCTCATAGGCTTCCACTTGAGAGCACCCTAAAGAGGAGGCAGGGGGAAGAGGGGACTTATGGGGGGGTACCAGCAATGAGACACCACCCTCCGCCATGGGACACTCACTTGTCCTCCATAGCAGCTGAGGATGCCCATCAGGATTGGGGTCAGGAGCCAGGAGCGCTTAAGGAGGAGGAGGAGATCCCATAGGATCCTGATGGGATCCATCCCAAAAAGATCTGGGGGGGAAGAAAGGGGGGTCATGGAAGGGTTATGGAGAGGATGAGGGTGAAGGTGGATGGGAGGCACAAAGGGATGGGGAGGAGCGGGGGGGGGGGGGGGGGTGGGGGGGGTGATTCCAAATGGGGTAATTCTGAAGGGGAATGGAAGAGCATGGTAGTACCCCAAAGATGAATGGGGGTACACGAAGGAGCAGGAAAACACATGGGGGGCACCCAAAGATGGATGGGGGGCACCCAAAGGGGAATGGAAGCAGATGGGGGAGCACCCAAAAGCTCAAACAGGCACACAGGAGCCCCCCAAAAGGACCAGGAAGGTGTCCAAGGGACCACAAGAATGAGGGATGCAAGGGGCAGAAGCAGCATCCCCATGGAGCAAGTTCCCTGGTGAGGATTTATCCCACATTGATCCCAAAACCGCCACTTTTTTCCCCTGGAAAGCACCCAAAATCCTGGGTTTTGGGGCGAAAGGAGCGGTGAAGGGGTTGTCCTTAAATCGCAGAGCCTGGAAATGGGATCCGGCAGCAGGAGCCTCTGTGCAGGTGTGGATCCAAGGACACGGTTGCTGCCCCAGAAGCAGCTTCCCAGCCTCTGCTTTGGGCCAAAAAGAGGTGGAATGGGGCCCAGGTTGTTGTTAAAAGCCAGCTTTGGAGGGGAGTAGGAGTTCAAATGGTGCCAAATCCATGGAATTCGGGGGGCATGGGGGGGGGGGGGTGTTTGGGGAAAAGAAGGGATTGGAAAGGGATTGGGGCAGAAGGAATGGGGTTTGTGGGGTGTTCCTGGAAGCGGGCATGGTTGGATGTGGCTTGGAGCGTCCTGCTCTATAGAAGGTGTCCCTGCCCATGGCAGGGATTGGAGCTGGATGAGCTTTAAGATGCCTTCAACCTAACCCATTCCATGACTCTGTGATTCCATGAATCCCTGATCCCTCACCTCTGTGCTGCAGTGTGGATGTTCTCTGGTGTATGGATCTTAGGAAGGAGCTAGTGGCACAAGGGAGCTCCAGAGCATCCCACAAGCAGAGCATCCCATAGGGATTCAGAGAATCCAACAGGGCTCCAGAGCATCCCACAGAGCTCCAGAGCGTCCCATAGGGATTCAGAGCATCCCGCAAGCAGAGTATCCAATAGGGGTTCAGAGCATCCCACAGGGATTCACAGCATCCCACAAGCAGAGCACCCCACAGGGCTCCAGAGCATTCCACAGAGCTCCAGAGCATCCCATAAGGATTCAGATCACCCCAAGCCCATCAGAACCACCCCCATGTCCCCCTCACTGAACCCCGCATTGGACCCCCCCCCCGCCATGGAACCTGCCCCATGGAACCTGCGTCTCTATGACATCAGCGCCAGCACCAAGGGACCTGCATCCAGCACCCATATCCCTGGGGCAGTTGCGCTTTGGGCACAGTGGTGGTTGCAGCTCCTTGGTAGCAGCTCCTTGGTTGCAGCTCCTTGGTTGCAGCTACTTGGTAGCAGCTACTTGGTTGCAGCTCCTTGGTGGCAGCTCCTTAGTAGCAGCTCTTTCGTTGCAGCTCCTTGTTGCAGCTCCTTGGTGGCAGCTCCTTGGTAGCAGCTCCTTGGTTGCAGCTCCTTGGTGGCAGCTACTTGGTTGCAGCTCCTTGGTTGCAGCTCCTTGGTTGCAGCTCCTTGGTGGCAGCTCCTTGGTTGCAGCTCCTTGGTTGCAGCTCCTTGGTAGCAGCTCCTTGGTAGCAGCTCCTTGGTAGCAGCTCCTTGGTTGCAGCTCCTTGGTGGCAGCTCCTTGGTGTCACCCTTAGCAGCAATGGCAGCAAGGGCTTTGCTCCGTGTCCTCATCCTGCTGGCGTTGGCCTGGCTGGTGCATGGCTCCTGGGACAGCTGTGGGTGAGTAGCACCAGGCTCTGGGGCTCCTGGTATTCCATAGGGAGATACTGCTGCTCCCAACCATGGTCACACCAATGGGGTGGTGGGATTGGGGAGCACCACTTCCTTGCCATCACCCCATGCAGTGGCACAGCGCAGCTATGGGGCACCCCATAGGGTCTCTTCTCCCTGCAGCACCCTATGGGGTGGGACGATGCTCGCCCTTCATCCCTAACCATCAAATGTTGGGCTTCTGCTTCCAGAGGGACCTGCGGTACCCGTCCCATGGCTGATTACTATGGCATGTCGCGCATCGTCGGAGGCGTGGATGCGCAGCAGGGCGCCTGGCCATGGATGGTCAGCATCCAGGTCCCCACAGCCAGCGGCTCTTCACACATCTGCGGGGGGTCTCTCATCACCCCCCAGTGGGTCCTCACGGCCGCTCACTGCTTCGTCGGGCAAAAGTAAGGGGGAGAAGGGATTCCAGCCATAGGGAATAACCAAGGAGCAGCTCCCATCCCGTCCCCTTCCCCATCCTGGATGCACTGGGAAGAGCGCTCGGGAGAAGGCTGCTTCCAACTTGACAGCCCTTGAGCCTGAGGCACGCTGGGGCAGTGCTTTCCTTTGGGAAGCAGCAGGAATGTTGCTCCTTCCCACCCCTCTTCTCCATAGAATGGAATGGAATGGCATGGAATGAGACGGAATGGAATGGGATGGAATGGAATGGATCATGGAATGGGCTGGGTTGGAAAGGAGCTTGGGATCATCCACTTCCAAGCCCTTGCCATGGGCAGGGATGCCTTCCATAGAGCAGCTTGCTCCAAGCTGGCCTTGAGCACTGCCAGGGATGGAGCATTCAAACCTTCTCCAATCCATCCCATCCCAGTACCCCATTGCCCTCATAGGAAATTCCTTCCCTATCTCCACCCTGCAATTCCCAGTGGGAACCCATCACCCCTTGTCCTATGGCTCTAATCCCTGCTCTTCCACTCCCTCCCAGCTTCACCACGGATTGGTTCGTGATGGTCGGAGTCACAGACCTGGCTTGGGCCAATTCCGAGACCCAGAAGCGTGGGATCCGGCACGTCGTGGTCCATGAATATTACACCGGCATCTCTGGTGGCTTTGACATCGCCTTGCTGGAGCTGGACCAGCCGGTGCAGTGCGGGTACCACGTGCAGCTCGCTTGCCTGCCCGATGCGACGCTCAGGCAATCCCAGCTCTCCGAGTGCTTCGTCAGCGGATGGGGCGCGAGGGAGGCCAGAAGTGAGTGCCCGACGGCTCCATTGGCCTTGGAATGACGGGTCATGGATTCATGGAATGGGATGGAAGGGAGGGTAAAGCTCATCCAGGTCTATTGGAGGTTGCTCCGACTGGGGATGGAGCATGCCAGCCTTCTCCATCCAGCCCATCCCAGTGTCCCACCGTTTCCTTCTCTCCAACCTGAGCATCCCTGCTTCAGTTGGAACCCATCACCCCTTGCCCCATCGCTGAAGGTCCCTCCATGTCCTCCTTACGTTGAGGATGCAGAGCAAAGGGGAGGCAGCCCAGGCCATAGGGCGCTGTTGATGGCTTCCGTTGAGCTTCTTATCCCCCAATACCCCCAAATCCATCCTTTGTCCCCCTAATCCTGACCCCCTTTGTTTCCCCACAGCAGGGGCATCGTCCCCATCAGCCCTGCAGGAGGCCAAGGTCCGCCTCATCGATGTCAAGCTCTGCAATAGCAGCCAATGGTACCGAGGGGCCATCAAGAGCCACAACCTCTGTGCTGGGTACCCGCAGGGTGGCATCGACACCTGCCAGGTAGGGATGTGCCACTGGGGCTCCCTTCTCCTCTCCCATCTGCAGGGCCTTGCTCTGCATCCCCATTTATCCCAGCTTCAGAAGAGCATCATCCCTACGCAGGGACCATAGAGCTTGGAGCCTTAACAGCATTGAGATTCCACCACTAAACCATGTCATGAGCATGGATTCATGGAATGGCTTAGGTTGGGAAGGAGCTTAAAGCATCCAGTTCTAAGCAAGGAGCAGGGACGCCTTCCATTAGACCAGATTGCCCCAAGCCCCATCCATCCTTCTCCATCCTACCCATGCCAGTGTCCCACCACCCTCATAGGGAACAACTTCTCCTTATCTCCAACCCAAACTCCCCTGTTCCAGTTGGATGCCATCAGCCCTCGTCCTATGGCTCCAATCCATGCTGAAGGTCCCTCTCCACACCCAAATGATGGAGAACCCTTCCATCCCCATAGGCTGACAGTGGTGGTCCCCTCCGGCATTGCCATGGCGACCCATCCCCATCCCCGCTCCTTCTCCTCCATAGGGTGACAGCGGCGGTCCCCTCATGTGCCGGGACAAGCGAGCCAACTTCTACTGGGTTGTGGGGCTGACGAGCTGGGGCCGCGGCTGCGCCAGGGCCAAGAAACCGGGGGTCTACACCTCGACGCAGCACTTCCATGAGTGGATCCTCTACCAGCTGAGGACGTTCCGCTCCGCGGCCGCCTCCGCGACGCCCCCGACATGGAGCCACCAGCACGTCTCCCATACCCCCGTCCGGGAGACAATGCCTGCACCCACGGCCTCGAGCATCAGTGGCTTCTGCTACTTCCCTGTTCGGGTGCTGTTGGAATTCATCACTCGGGTGCAGGACTTGCTGCAGGCTCTAAGGGGGGAGAAGACTTGAGGAGCGGCATCGCTTGCAGGTGGCTTGACCTTCAGTAAAGTTGCCTTATTTTCCCATAGAGAGGATGCTTTGCATGCCCACCTCTTTTTCTGGTCCATGGGGACGGGTGGGGATGAGGGACAGAGGGCAGGGAACAGTGGGAAGCGGGAGCTGGGAATCAGGGAATCAACCAGGTTGGGAAAGACCTTCAGGAGCATCAAGTCCAATCATTGCCCCACCATTAAAACATGGCATGAAGAGGGAGGGGGAACAGCTTCCATTAGACCAGGTTGCTCCAAGCCCCATCCATCCTTCTCCATCTAGCCCATCCCAGGGTCCCAGCACCCTCACTTCCCGCTTCCAGGCTTGAGATCTTCCTTTAGGACCTCACAAGC